ATTTTTTATGGATGGTACTTTTCTTTCTTCATGAGACGTAATACTGAGCGTTGGCTGACTTGACTTTCAGCTGCGACTAGGCTAGAAGCACTGTGAGAATCTTCTTCCAAACGTAACAAAATGTCAATTTTAGTGTCTTCACTAATACCCGGACGGCCAGGTTTTGGAATATCTTTGACATGTCCAGTCTCTCTAAATTTCTGTTAAATTTTACTAACAGTGAAACGAGTAATAGGTCTAGCTGGATACTTTGCATTAAATAAGTTGCATTGCAATCCTATCAATCTTCTTGTTGTGTTCTAGTTTTATTGCCACATCCTACGAGAATTAAAACTTGACCCCTTGGAAAGATTTAAAACCGGTTAACACTCCTAAAAGTTTGTACCTGTAGTAGCCAACTTTTGTTTAAAATCACACACCAACAAAGAAATATATACTCTCTAAAAATGAATTAGTTAAAAATGACTAATTTAATAGTTTTTAGTGGCTGCTTTTTCACTTTTACCATGGTTAACCATGAAATACCATGGTATCCCAAAATTTAACAGCCAATTCTTAAGTAAAATTGTCCCCTAAATCCGAAAATGTCGTCAAAAGTTAAAATAGAAGAACAGTTTTTAAGATATAGTCAATTTTCCATTTAATATGAAATTGACTATATCTCAAAAACTGCTTTACTTTAAAAAAATTTGACGGTATTTTCGGATTCAGGGGACAATTTTACATAAGAATTGGCTGGTAAATTTTGGGATACCATGATATTCCATGGTAAAGCATGGTACAAGTGAAAAAGCAGCCACTAATAACTATTAATTTAGTCATTTTTGACTAATTCATTTTTAGAGAGTAGACCTCTGCTGTTTGTAGAACAAAAAAATAATAAAAAAACAAGTACGACTGAAAAAGTTTATACCTTAAATAAAGTATTTAAGGTGGTCCGGGCATGAGTTTTAGTGTTTGGATCGTGGTAGAAGTGTGTCCTATCATATAGGATATACAGCATTAGATTTAAAATCCGTTGCCAACTACTTGCAACCAAAATTCAAATGGGTATAAATTCTATTTTAAGGCGATGATTTTATTATTTTGCAACGTAATTGCATTGTCAGTTCATGAGGCGTTGTTATAGTGTATGTGAAAGAATAAAAATCTATAACATCGCTTTTAAAAATTTCTCTAATAACGGTCGCAACGCTTGGCAACGTCGTATTTGCTGTCTCAGCGACGTTGCCATGAATCTCCAGTGCAAGCGTCAAATTTCGTGAATTCAACGATTTAATCCAATAGAACTTTTTTCCTACCGACATGATCATTATGAAACTTCGCGTATCATGTTTTGAAATTACTCTCCACGATATACTCATTTTTCATTGCAATCCTATCATTACCAATAATTATTTCGGAGGAGAAAAGAGTAACAATCCACGTGCTGCCATAAGAACCCGTGTATTTTTACTCAACTTTGAAATTGATTTACTCGGCTCCCAACGACATGAATTTTTATTAAATTAAACAGGTTGATGTTAAGCATCATAAAGAATTTATTTGTAAATTTTTATCAAATTCTGATCATTTGACACTCACTCCAGGACAACATTAAATTGATTTTATGAACATTTCAGCGATAACAACTTTTTTATTTTGTCAAAACATCAGTGCATCAGGGCTAAAACCAGAATTTCATACTCTATTCAAATCTGCAATAAAAAAAGTTGAGGGTGCAATTTAAAAAAATGGCCGATGACGTCATAGCTTCTACAAAATATCAAAATGTTACATCATAATGTGCGTAAATGAAAAACAAAATCGACTTGTTCAAGGTTTTTTTTTTGAAAAATTACAGGAAATTTTTTACTGTATACTAAACTGCAGTGGTATTTTTGGTATAATTCATGCAAATTTTTTTGATCGGGAATATTTAGTCGGAAAAATTAATATTGACAACATTAACATATTTAACCTTTTCAGTTCGTTTTCGGTGTATGTTTTTTTACATAAATTTGAATGGCTGATGCGCCAAACACGTTTTCAATCCCTTTGTATGCTCGCATGATGAACGATCCAAAGCGTGTCAATAACCAAGATTTATCCATATTTGTTATTCCTATGTTACATACTTTTTACGAGCGCTCCAAACCTAATATACTTTTTACACTCAGCTAAATATACTGTTCTTTATAAATGTCAAGCATTTTGTTTTAACAACACAAACGTCTTAGTGTCTTAGACCACGTTGCCTTAAACTTATCAGACGCCGCTGAAATCGCTAAAACAGACACCGATAATTCGCTGAAATAACAGGCTTTAAAAAGTTTACGTTTCGTGGATTCGTTTATACAACCACGAAAGGTACGAAAAAAGGATGACTTTTACAGATTAGCAAAATACTTTACTTTGCTCAATCAGTTTCAACAGCTGCCTAAAATTGCTATAAAAGACGTTTCAAAACATAAAGTGTAATTGTTAACTTTTAAATTACTTTTTGATCTTGAACCAAAAGAGTGTTCCGAATAAATTAGATTATTTTTTTCATAAATTGTGTTTAAAATGACGTGAACAAGACCTGGAACGACGCATTATGGTTTATCGGCGGAAAAAATACATTTTTAAAAACTTTTTATTATGGGTATTTTTATGACGATAATTGGGTAAAAACATCTTAAAGCAATAGATTTTGACATATTTTGAGATACGATCGTAATTATGTATTGATGTCATAAAATCACCCTAAAAGTAGAATGTTTTTAAAACAGTAAAATTGGCTAAAAATTACGCACACATTTAATAAACTATATCTTTTAATCGAACATTTTTTTAAATAAGTTTAAAGTAAACCTTAATCTACATACATACAAATTCCTAGTTGAGTAAAAAAATAAAAATTAAAAGAAACATTGGTAAAATTAAGAGAAAAAAAATCATATTGGCATTTAACTACGATTGCCTCCGATTTACACATTGATATCTACATGAGGTTGTTCATGTAAACTTTACTTTATAAGTACACCATATATATGTATATACGCACATATGTAAAAGTTATAAATTTTTATTTACTCACTCAAGATTTTCGTACCCACAGATCTATGCTCATATGGTCATTTGCTCATTTTAGTTCAATTTATTAATTATTGTAAATATTTCAACATGTTTTAATTTTTTTTTTAATATTATTAAAAAATATATACAAAGTATAATCTTATAGGATTAATCATTAATTACCTATTTATAACAAATTATTAGTTATTAATTTGTAGGTATTTTAAAGGAAAAATATTTTATAAATTAATTAATAATCTCCTGAGGAAGCTCAAGAATCTAAAAATAAGGATTTTAAAAAATTTCGATATATGATTTCGAGAAAAACAAGTTGAAAATCAACAAACGAGGATATATTTTATCGTCTTTTAATATCGTCTGACCCCCTAATAACGTTACTTAGGAGAAATACAAAATTTGTAAAATATATATGCTTGATGAAGGAGTTAAGGAATTATAAATGGAGTAAATGTAAAAATTCAAATTATGTTTATTTATTTCTTAAAGTGTGCTTAAGATAGTTAAAAAAAATATGTATTTATTTACAATTAAAAAGTTATTGAATTATTTTTGCAATCGTTTTACGGCGAACATCTAAAAAGGCATTTAAAAAATTAAGACCTTTATTTTTTTTATTAAAATATAGTTAAATATACCTATTAAATCTTATTTAACACATAGACCGGGAGCTTGATGGAGTTGAGTGTGCAAAATGTGAGGACCGCATTCTGTATATAGTTTTGAACTTAGAAAAGCTTGCAGATGATGATTCTGAATGTTGCCAGGAGGATTGTTGGTCCATTTATTTTTTACGTCCCCGACTCCTTAGATATCAAGTAATGGACTGAAAAAATGCTTTGGAATCATTTTAATGATTGTTTAAGTGACAATATGTAATTTTTTCCTATGATTACAAATATTTACAGCCACTCAATTGAAAAAAAAAACAAAAAAGTTAAAATAAAAAAAAAATTTTTGATAAAAAAACTATTTATTATTTCAAAAAAAAATACAAATAATCAATAGTAATTTTATTTTGACAGTCATTATTGATACATTTACACAACGAAATAAAATTTTGTTGTAATTTTTTGCAAGAGCAAGCCTTTGTTTTACAATTTGATGTACATTTACAGGGCTGAATCAACAATTCTGGCAATAGTCGCTTCGTCAGTTGCCGTGGGTACAATTTCCAATCTTTTTTTTCATAGACTAATAAGGTATAATCAATAGGCTGTTGTAGTGTTTGATCAGCATTTATCCATAAATATGTTTGTGCTGAAGCTCTTAACAAATGTAAATGAAGAGCATCTGATGTGCAAACTACTTTTAATAAATTTAAGCCGAAGCCGATATTTTAAGAAATTAATTTATACCGAAGTTTATCAGCAGTTAATTTTTTTTTTTTTAAAGAGGTGTAAATGATTTCTAATTCTGTTAACTGTTCGACACTTAGGTATGGATTTTCTAAATGCCTTAGAGCTTTTTGTACAAAATCCAACGATGCAGCTTTTAAACCATTTTTTTCGAGCCCAATCTGCTAGTTGAATCGCAACCACTTAGAGAGTGTAATGCTGAAAAAATACGACAAATGTTTTCGCCAAGGGATTGAGCAGCTACATGACATCCTGAAATGTATTTCTTCTTATAAGAACCGTAGAACCATAGACCTAAACAACCTAGACGTGCTAGCTTTTTCCAGAAATAAATTCCCAGGATGAAAACATCTGTATCAGCGCTAAGGATTATGATGTGGGCAGATTGTATTTTTACTGCGTGAAATATTTGACAAAACATCCTTGAATCGGCTTCTAAATGGTTCGAATTTAAGTCAGGTACTTCAAAAAATAAAGAGCCTTGTAATTTTTAAACATTTTGTTGGATCATCAGTAAAACCAATGTAATTTCTACTAATAAAACCAATCAGTTTAAGGCTACCAGATACAATTCGATTAACTTACGTTACGTTAACATAATTTTTCATAGCGGTATACACAACGTCTTTGGAAGTCGGTGGCTGAGGTATGATCGGACTAAATCCAACAGTAGAAACAGCTGAGGTTTCAGACGATAGTATTTGTTGAAATGGAGTCCATCCTGGTAATGAGTTTGTAGATGGTCGGCAGAAATTATTTTCTGTTTGACTATATTGCAGTCTACACAAGACCCAGAGCAAATGATCAAATTATAAATTGTTTTGACTATTATTCAATAAATAGCTACTGTCTTTATAATTTCTTGGAAATGAAAAAATTCTTGACAGTTTAAAAATTTTAAATCAAACTCGTTCTGCTCTGCTTCACTTTGATTAAATTAACTTCATTTTCAGTGGTTTTTTTTCTTGATATATCACCATTGCTGTAACATGGGTCAAGTCTTTTCCGCTTAATATTACATATGTTTCTTCATTAAAATCATTGTTATCTATAGCTCCATGAAGAAATAACGATGAATCTCGAACTATATTTTTAGGAATAAGCAATTTTCTGTCCATATCTTCACACACAATTGACGTTGTTACTTCTTTATCTAGGTTTTTTAATGCTTTGTAACTGGTGCAATGCCCACATTTATTTAACATATTGATTAATTCTTTCGATCGAGTCAAATGATAAATAGATTGAGCTAAAGCTATATGTTTTGGAGTCTGTTTTTCAGTAATCGTGAAATATATATCATAAAACACTGATAACGCTCGTCGATTATATTTTTCACTTAATTTGTTATTCTTAGCACTGAACAACGCTTGCATATGCCAGTATTCGGTAATTAACATTTTTTAAAAACTGTTCAATTAAAATTTTATCACATAAATACCCATCTGGTATTACTTCAGTTCTTAATATTTCTTTGCGAAGTTGTTTTGCTACTTGAACAATGTAGTTTGTTGAATTTATGGTACGAATATGTTCAATGACTTCGTCCAGTGGTATGTTGCCCATAAATACAAATGATGATTTTGATCGGTCGCTTGAATATAAAAATAAAACGTTTCCTCCATACTTATCAATGAGTAGTGATTTCATAACGCGATTTTCCAAAACTGCATCTTCTATTTCAGTTAGTTGAGCTAGTCGCTTAGCTAATAATGATACTTCAAAAGAGTGAGATGTTAATTGATATTTTATTTTATCAATCAGCTTCTCAAATGCCTCTATAAGTACATAATGAGGTATTTTATTTGGAGGTCTACCTGCTGGAGTTGCTGAATTTCTTGGTAGTCGTAGATAATCACGATAACAGTGTTTATGATACTTCACTTTCATTGCAAATAAATCGGCTGGATGTTCGCAAGTGACAATTTTTGTGAAAACATCATCTTATTTTTTACGGGCAGTATTTAAAATTTCTTCTGCCGCCGAAATTTCGGAGCACAAAAAAAGTGTTTTGTTTTTATTTCTTGTTTGTTTACCACAGAATAAACATTTCAGATCGTTATCAAATTTTAAATCAGTTCTTGATGACCTACGAACACGTTGAGTACCTGGAACACCTGCTTCTGCAGAGGAGGTAGAAATAGAGACATTCTCCTGCTTATCTAATGCTATTTCTCGACGCCTTATATTCTCTTCACTGTAACTTTCCATATAAGTTCGATGCCTTGAACAATTGTGTTCAGTAAAGTCTGTATTATTTTATATTTTTTCACCAATGTCATCTTTTCTCCGATCTGCTGCTCTTTGAATATTTACAAATGATTGTGGTTTTGGTTTCTCGACTAAATTACCCGTTTCATTAATTAATCACTTAACTACCAGAAAACTTAAATAATATTGCGTAAATACGAAAAAATAAACCGTTATGCACTGTGGATGATGCGCTATGACAGTGTCATAATGACAGAAGGGTGAGGAAAAGGGACCAGCATAGCTGCTGGCAACATGGGTTTTTCTTTTGTTTGGTGTCTCACGTAAAAGAATTTGAGCATAGTTGCCGGTCCTCATATTTTGCATACTTAACTACCTTTGGCGCCTGCACTAACAGTAAAAAATGAAAAAATAAATATTTCTTTGCAATAAAATTTTTTTTTGATTATTTCCTCAATTGATGCTCTATAGGACCATCTAAAACGCATTTAAAAAATAAAAACCGTTATGTTTTTCGATTAAAATATAGTTAATTATGCGTAATAGGTAATATTTAACAAAGGAAAAATTAAAAAAATTAATATATTTTTGCAATATATTTTATAAAAAAATAATTGGGTTATTTCCGCAATTGACGCTCTATGAACATCTAAAAGGCATTTAAAAATGAAAAACCTTTATTTTTTTTCTTGAAACATAGTTATTTATACGTAATAATCCTTATATAATACAGGGCTTTATGATAATCTAAAAACGCATTTAAAAAATAAAAACCTTTACAATTTTCGATTAAAAATGGTTAATTATACATAATAACTCCTATTTAACAAATTAAAAAAGAAAAAATTAATATTTATTTGTAATAAAAAAGTTATTGAATTTTTTACGCAAAACGCTGCTTTTTTACCATAGTGCGACGCGTCGCGACGCGTCGTTGAACGTGTTATGTATTAGGTACGTGTAATCCTCTACTGCATGTTGCAACTTGTTGTTTCAAATTTTAGCAAAACTATTAAAACTTAATTCCATTTAATTAAACAACAATGTTATACAATTTATTTTCAATAATGCGAAATTTACTCGATTGTGAGCGAACAATATAACTAGCAAATTGTACTCTATAATCGATCTGATTCTACGAATATGTATTTAATTTGGCATGTTTTGAATTTTTAAACTGACTTTAATGACGCCCAATAAATTCACTAATATCATCCACTACAGCTTTTTGAACTAATAACCGTTATAACTGACTGTTCATTCCAAAATTGAATTCAAAGACGATTCAGCCGTATTCATCCAGTCGTTCAAAATAATCAGCTGACTTCAAAGAAGATTCATCTAATTCTTCCAAGTACTGACTTCAAAGAAGATGCAGCCCTATATGGAGTTTGTAAAGATTTTGAAATTGTTTGTGATTTTATTATATTATACAAACTATAATTCATTTTTTTATCTGGACTGCGGCAACGTTGCAAATTTAGGGGTTTGGTTGGTAAATACGGAACCAAAATTGATTGCATTGATTAAAACAAAATAAAATTAATGTAATTAATGTAATAATTATTATAATGTTATTGTAGTTTTGTTTAAATTATTGTAGGTTACATTGAACGATTGTCAAGTTAAGTTGTCAAAATTCGTAGTTAAAAATGCAATTAATTTGGCTTTGGTGGTGCGTAGATGAGTAAAATCATATAAAAAAGTAGTTAAATATAGGTGACTACGGCCCAGGAGAGACAAAGTATTCTTAGCGGAAAATAATCTCCGCTTTGAAAAGAATTTATATAAAATAAAATAAATTTTATGTAAAAACACGTGAATGTTGTCCAATCATTGGACTCCAATCATTGGTGAATAGGTATTTTGTTAAAGCCACTGGACGTTAATACTTGTAGTGTCTTGATAATAATTATAATGTATACATTGTCCAGGACTATTAATGATCAGTAACTTGCAAATTGAAAGAAGAAAAACTTTCGTGATTATTGCTTATCTTTTTCAAACCAAATGAATGCTATTTTCAAAGACAGTAAAATTAACTACTGGATTTTTCACAAAAAGGTTGAACCTAACAGCAAATAGTTGTTAATAGTTCATCGAAATGAAGTTTTGCCCTTAAAAGTTATTTTACTTATCTGATCTGATATTAATAATAATTAACAAGTAAATTATCAATAATAAATATTACTGTCACTTTGACCGTGTCAGAGTATTTAATTAAGGTCTTCAGCGGGGTATGAACATCCCGGAAATTAAGCGAGTTGTTATTTTTTGTAGTGTTACTGTTAGTTACTCTAAAAATACTAAAATTGGCTTTATTTTATTTTATACATTCTGTAGAAGACTACAAAAATGAATCGTATTTTGAGAATTGGGCCTAATTTAGTTTGCTTGTCTCATTTATCCAAAGCAAAATTAAATTGGGGGAAAATCAATTCCCCCGTTTTTCTTGAAGGATGTTTCTTTGCAACAAAGAGACCCGAGGCGAACGGGCAAAGGTGTGCCGCCTGAATATCAATAAACTCGAGCTCCAAACGTACCTGTTGCAAAGATATTTAAATTTTTTATTTGCAACGAGAATTGCTCAAGGAAAACACAGCACGTCTCTTTCTCTTACTGACGCATAAAAAATGATAAATATATTATTTAACAACGAGCAATGCTCTATACATGTCCAGGGTTGCACCTAATAAATCGTTATCCTTTGGGGGGATGATAGTACACGCCAAAACAAGAAAGATTTTCCTCTATCATTTTTGCATTAGATCTACTCACTGACCTTTCCTATAATATATAATATATAATATATATACAGTATGTCTCAGTATCTTGGAATCATATGGAAAACTTTTTTATTATTAATTTTAGGAAAAAAAGTTATTCCTCATAAAAAGTTCTGCATGGTGTAAAACTTAAAATGCAACCCACAAATATTAATTTTTTTTTCGTATACGAGGTATGTCAAAAAATATAAATTTGTCGCAAGAGTAAAGTACCTTTATATTTGACGATATCAAAAATTGTTATAAAGAAAAGTTAATTAGAACTAAAAACTACGTTTAAATATGCAATTTCATACATTTACATTAAAAAATTAGGTTTTGTTAATTTTTACTAATCTTTCTATTTTAAATGAACATTTATCTGTTATGATTAGAAAAAACATGAAAACCTTAAGTTAAGTCAGGGGATCTAGCAGGCCAAAAAGTTTTAGAATATCAACAAATCATTTGTTTATCAGTGAATCCTAGATTACATGTTACAGTTAAATTTGCATTGATATTGTAGACAAAAAAGAAAAAATATTTTTTTTAATGTAAATGGATGTAATTGCATATTTGAACGTAGTTTTAAGTTCTGATTAACTTTTCTTTTTAACAATTTTCGATATTGTCCAATATAAAGTTACTTTACTCTTGAGCCAAATTCATATTTTTTGACATACCCCGTATACGACTAAAAAAAAATAATATTTGTGGGTTGCATTTTAAGTTTTACACCATGCAGAACTTTTTTTGAAGAATAACTTTTTTTCCTAAAATTAATAATAAAAAAGTTTTCCATATGATTCCAAGATACTGAGACATACTGTATATATATTATATCATCAATGTTTTTATCCCTAAAAACAATTTTATTCATTCAAGAAAAAAAGAAACATGTATACGCACAGTGTATTAAGTAATATCAAGCAAACTTTTAAACTTATTCAAAATCGGTTAGTAGGTACTTTGTTGTCATTGATTACTGACAGTTCGGTTGTTATTGTGGTTTCTCTGGGGCTACATGAACAGTTTAGTGTACCAGAGCGAAGTTGACACATTAGAACAACTCCGCGAACTAATAATAATAATTTTGGCGTGTACACAGAAAAAAAAAGTACATAATATTAATGTATTTTAATATTGTAACAATGTATGCGCACATTAAAATAGAGCCGATGCACAAATACATTATTATAATGTAAATGTTTCATTAATGCATGACAAATTACATTGAACAATGAAGAGTACATTGATATAATGTAACAGTATACATTGGTCAATGTATGTCATACATTTATAGTATGTACCTTATTCATTAATATAATGTACCCTGTACATTGATATAATGTACCCTCTACATTGATATAATGCATCCTGTACATTGATATAACTATATATTGTTATAATTGACTGTGCGTTCCACGAAAGATTGGCGGTCTTAGGAATGTGATGCAATCCTTTATTTCTATATAACGGCCAACTTTTAATTATAATAATAATGCTAGGGTTTTCCATATATTTGCAGGCAAACGTATGCAACAAACCCTATCCCGATATCAATAAAGAGTTGGCCGTTATACAGAAATGAAAAATTGCATCACATTCCTAAGACCGCCAATCTTTTGTGAAACGCACTGTATAGGGTGTTTTTGGATGAGGAAAAAAACACATTTTTATACATATTAGATTTTTTATTTAAATACTCTTTTAATAAATGAACTTTACCATAATTGTTTGTCGTTTTAAATAAAAAAAAGGTTTCTAAGAAATTATAAATCATTACTGATTCGGGCGGAAAATCTAAATTAAACAAATAAATACATTTGAAGCAAATATCTACTGCCCTTAATACACTAAAAAATTTATATCGGACACCATCAAAATAAAGATAAATTTCTTTAATGTTTACCTCATCCTTTCCTATCCAAAAAATAAATAAAACTGCTGTGCATTGACTTGCTTTTTTTTAAATGATCAAGATGCTTCTCGAACTCCTCCAAAGTGGGTGAGAGGTACAGAAATGCGTCTTGTAAATCCTTTATCGTAAATTTAGTTGTCACGTTTTTCTCTGTGTTATCTTTTTTGACTATTTTGCCAGTTGGATTGCCATGGATTACCAGAAAAATTGTAGCATCTCGTGCATCTGAAACAATAGCAACATAATATTATTTTACAAGCATCTAAGGTAATTTCGATAAAAAGTGGCCTCATTTAACGTAAAGTGTTATTTTCATATATTATATTACTTTTTACATTAATAAGTGATATTCCT